GAGGCAAGCCATGAGCTCGGGAACAGCCCGTCCTGCCCCCACCCATGTACCAAGCACAGACCCCACAGCTCCACTGGGGCATGGCCGGGGGCAGGAGGCAGCTCCAAGGGAAGCACTCAGTTGGAGGGAACATGCTGGCAGCTCTGTGCTTCCCACCCCATGTCACCGGGATGTTTGCGTTCCAGAAATGCTCGGGGCAACAAGTAGCCACAAAGGTGGAGTCATAGCCACGAACTGCAAGGGATCCCAGAAAGCAAAGCCAGCCCCACGACAGGCACTGTGCCCGAACTGTTTCTCTTCAGGCCAACACACCCTTGTAACCAAGAGCCACTGAAGCCAAGCAAAAAGCTCGAGCGTCGAGTCCAGCTCGGCTGCATGGCACAGGCAACTCCCACCACTCATGGCAGAGGGGCCCAAAATGATGCGGAGCCAGGGACAATGAGCAGGGCCCAGCATCAGCCCCGGAGAGCCTGAAAGAGGCAGTGCCATCCCCAAGCTGCTACCTGCACTGGGTCTCCCCGGGACGCCGCAGCACCTCTGACTGCAGAGGGAATGGGAAGGGGCCCTTGCAGCAGTGAACGTGACCGTGGTTCACAAGGCTGGGCCACTAGTGCTGGCAGGCCACTGCTGCCAGACACACACCACTGCTCAGCTCCAGTCCCTACCAACACCGAAACAGGTCGGCTACAGGTGCTTCCCGGCACTGTGAAAGCTAACCTGGGCTTGCCAAACACAGGAAAGTATGTTTTGTGCTGTATTTCTTTTGCCTCTAGGGTGAAAACCCCACAAGGAGTGGGAGATGAGAAGTAGTGACTGTTTTGTGAGGGGTCAGGCCAGGCTCCATCACCTCCTTCCTGTGCCTCTCAAGGGGTGGCACAGAGTAACTGCTGGGCAGAGTGACAGCAAACTCCAAAATGGGGTCCTAGAGGGCTGAGAAAGGATAATTGTCCTCTCAAGAAGGGACAAGTGGAAGAGCCAGAGTCGCGTGTCTGCTGTCACTCCTCTGGGAGAAGCCTGCTGCTCTCATGCCTCACTGAGGGCTTGGCTCCCTCAGGCGCTTTGCCGACAGTTATTTCTAATGGCAGGCAGGAGCCAAGCAGGGCTGGGGCTCTGCCCAATTCCAGTTGCCAGACTGATGCCAGCCCAAGGCCACTGCAGTCACTGTGGGGTTCCAGAGGAGTTCAGACAAAGCGCAGGTTATTCCCATTTATCTGTTCAGCCCCCGGGTGTGCAGGGGCATGGAGGCTTTGGCACCACTAATGTAGGAGCCGCTGCAGGGGAGAGATGGTGAAAGGCCACCTGGCTGGATGCCAGACCTACCTCCGAGAAGCACCCGATGGGCTGGGTGCTTGTACAAAACCTTACTCAATCCTTCTCCGAGCCGCGAAAGCCTGGCCACACTGCCGAGAGAGGAAGTGCCTCCTTGCCCTCTGCCCTCCCAGCCTTTGTGCCGGTGTGAGCACCCACGTGGCTGCAGCACGTACTGGATCAAGACACCAGCCAGAGCTAAACTGCTTTCTGCCAAGTTTGTCTTATGCTAGAGCAGTTCCCTAACCCAGTTCCCACCGGGGCTGCACAAACACTTTCACTGGCCAGAAGAAAGGGAGAACTCGGGAACAGGAGCAAGGGGCCGGGGAGAAGCCCGCCCCTTCCCACAGCAGTGCCACACCAGGCTAGTGTAAACGCTCAGGGCACAACAGCAGGAGGTGCACAAGACGACACGATTTGCTCGCCCCCCCCCCCCGGGCTTAGGGCACATTTAGCACTTGGCAGGAAGAGCCCCCCCTCAGCACCCAAAGGCCTTTACTGGGGTGGCCGTGGAGGAGGTTGGCCGTGCCCCAGCTTCATCCTTCCACAGACTTTTGGCTCCTCCACGTCCCGAACACAGATGACAGAAACGCTTCCCTCGCACACACAAATACTTTTGTCACCTTCTGCTCCTCGTTCCCCCCAGGAATCAGAAACCTCAAGGCTCAAGCTCATATCTTACTTCAGTTTCTCGGCGTGCCTGACACGCAGGCTGAGCCAGGACGAGCACAGAGCTGCTCAGGGCAGGCACCCGACCCGGCACTGCCACACATGATGTTTCCAATCCGCGTGGAAATCCCCGTGCCCCCCAAGCACCGTTACGGCAGAGCGAGCCCTTACAGCTGTGCCGCGCAGGGAGCACGACCGGCCCAGCTCCCCCCAGGCCCTGACAAGCCCCCGGGGCAGGTGCGCCTGGCCAGCGATCGGCCCGCACCAGGCCCCCCG